AGCTACTGCCTCATGTCTCTGCTATCCTTTACAGCAGAACTCCAGCACTCAGACTCCCATTCACCTCTGTTCTCTCCTGAAACCCCTCCCATCAGGCAGTTCATCATCACCACTCCAATGAAACTGTTCGTACCTACATCACCAATGGCCCCACACTCTCACTCCTCATCTTACATGACAGCATAGCACTGGACACAGCTGAGCACTCTACCTTGAAACATTTCCTGCACTTGGATCTACCTCCCTGGCTACTTCTCAGTCTCTCTAGCTAGTTTTTCCTCATCTCTCTGATATTTAAATGGCATGCTCCATGATTATCCGGGACCTCTTTGCTTCTCTGTGTATCTGTTTACCTCATCCATATACCATCTATTAACTCCCAAATTTGTCCCTCCAGCTGGACCTCTGCTTTGAACTTCAGATGGCATATCTAACCACCTACTAAAGGTCTCTATTTGGATGTCCGTGAACATCTCAGAGTTAACATCCCCCCAAAAGAACTCCAAATCGAGTCTCAAATCTGCTCATCTTGCAGCCTTCCTCATCTTATTAGATAGCAACTCCATCTAACAGGTGCCCAAGACAAACACCTTGGAGCCACCCTTCACTCCTCACCACATATGCAATACTATTGCCTTTACTAACAAAATCAAACCAGAATCTAGCCACCTCTCATCATCTCTACTCCTATAATCCCAGTCCATACCACCATCAACACTTAAATTAATACAACAGCCTCCTAAATGGTCTATCTGCTTTTGTCTTTGCCCCTCAAGGTTAATCCTAAACTTAAAAACCAGAATGATCATGTTAAGTTCAAGTGTCAGATTAATTCACACTTTTCCTCAGAACCCTTTCATAGCTTTTCATTCACAGTGAAGCTAATGTCTTCCGACTGGCTTACAAAGCCCCACACAACCAGGAAGCCCTGTTAACCAGATTTCATCGTCTACCTTTCCCTCTTACTCACTCTGACCCATCTAACCTGCCCTCCTTTCTGTACCTTCATCACATCAGACTTATTCCTGTCTCAGAGTCTTTGCCCTTGCTCTTCTCTCTACCTGGAATCCACTTTCTATCATATCCCTTAGCCTGCTCCCTTGTGTAAGTTGTTACTAAATGTTATCCTGGTGACACTTTCCTGGCTGGCCTATTTAAAACTGAACAGATATTTCCATCACTTCCTATTCCTAATTCCTGATTATTTTTTTATAGCACTTAGTAATAGATCTCTGGAGCCAGTCTTCATGGGTTCGAATCTGACTCCAGCATTTATTAGCCATATAATGTTGAGCAAATTACTTCTCTGTCGTACTCTCAGTTTCCTCATTAATAAAATGGGGAAAGTAATAGTCCTGAGATTCCACAGGACTGTTATGAGTCTTACATTAATTAATAGGTTTGAAAACACTAGAAGTACTTGTAAATATTAGTTTTCATTTCCTCAGCAACTGTATCTGGAACACTATATAGTTTAACAGTTTATCATCTATCTCTCTCACTAGAAAGTAAGTTCCCTAGGACACTTGTTTATCTAATGCTGTATTCCTGTGCTTAGAACAGGGTCTGATAATGCTAAAAAATATATTAATTGACTAAAAAAAAATAAATGCATGTTTCCCTTTTTTAATTCCATTCAGCACCATTATGTTGGGCTAGGTTTGAACTCAATTACTGACCCTCTATGTCAGTGGTTCTCAACCTTCCTAATGCCGCGACCCTTTAATACATTTCCTCATGTTGTGGTGACCCCCAATTTCATTGTTACAAATTGAACATAATTAAAGCATAGTGATTAATCACAAAAACAATATGTAATTATATATGTGTTTTCCAATGGTCTTAGGCAACCACTGTGAAAGGGTCGTTCGACCCCTAAAGGGTTGCGACCCACAGGTTGAGAACCGCTGCTGTGGTATTTATTTCCCATTTCTTCTTGAGCCCACCTGTAGCATCCTTATAAATGGAAATCAAATCCTATTTTTACATATGAATTTTGTTTTTCTAATTCTCACCCTGGTTAGCTGATCTAATTATATCTTTGACCATGTCCGTTTACCCTAGATATTCCAGGCTCTAACTTCCACTTCCCTGTTAGGATTAATCCAACCCCCCACAAGGCACTCTCTCTCCCAGTGTTTCTCAGAGTGGAGATAACCTACATCAATCACCTGAAGAAGGAACCCAACTTGTAACAAAAATCCTCCGGGTGCTTCTTATAGATACTAGGACCCACTGGGTCCAGCAGACAAGTAATTGTAACTTTTTGCCTGTTTACCACAGAGCCCTTTAAGAACCAATGACCAACCCAGTGTGTGAGTCTACTCACTCCTAATGTTCTAAAGTTGTCCCATTACTGCCCTGTCTTAAATGGTCCCAAATGTTGGTCAAGTAATCTAGACAAGTTTATCATTGTAGGAGGCAAACATCTTCCCTTTAAATACATGATAAATGCTAATTAAAATATCAAGGCAATAAATTAAATCTTGAGCATTAGAAAAAAACCAGACCTTTCTTTTTCAATAGAATCTCATAGAATCCTGATATTTACTTCAAACAGAAATAATACAAGGAAACCAAAAAGGACAAGATTGGAGTCTGACAAATTCAGATTTTTTTTCAAGGATCAGAAACACAAACATACCTGATAATTCATGATGGCACGTAAACACATGATGCAGACATGCACGTCATCCTTCTTACTCACTAATCTTGAATTTTTCAAGGTTCTTCTGCTTGGCAAAGTATTATATCTACAAATAAAAAGGGAAACTTCTGTAACACCATAGATTACACTCTTAGCATAGGCACATGCACTTAAAAAAAAAAAAAAAAAGGATGTTGCTCTCTACCTTTACCTGCACCGAATTGAGGATTACAGGTCAAAACTATCAACCATAAACCCATCACCACAAAGCTATTTCCATACATTGGGAGGACCGCATAATTGTGTGCACTGGTCATCATTTGTCAGGCCAGATACCCATGGCAATGAAGCTCGACTTCACTCCACCATATAACAAATCAGACTGTATGTGGGATTCAACAACAGTCCCCAGCTCCTGATCAGTAGGCCAAGCAAGGTGTGCAGAGGTGATCTGAGGCAACATGCATGCAGACTGCATTTGCCAACAAGTGACAGGTGAAACTTAGCTCACATATAGACTTCCAATCTTTGACACTATTTTAACTGCACCTTCCCATGAGTGCTCTCGGGAGTCCAGCATTCAGAGTTTAAGCCTAGGCAAGGTCATATATTAGCAACTCTGATATCAGCCTGTGATACCAGACCTTAAGGGTATGCACAGCCGTAATAGCATACAAATGCCTCCACAGCCTGATCCCTCACCTACAGCCTGGTATGGCAGCTGAAACTTGGAGGAGAATATGCTCATATTTCACAGGATTAAGATGTTTCAACGTTAGGATCCATTCTAGAGACCCTGCATTGCTAAGCCATGGTAGTTCTCTCTGGGGATGTATGAGCCTGCAAGTAGTAAAGAAGTGAAATGTAAAGTAACAGGTGCAAGTGGAAAACATGACAAGGCTGTAAATGACTGCCTCCGAGGACAGTCTTCCCTGCAACTCCGAGCCTGAAATGTAGCCAAATGCAAAAGTTGTCAACTACTAGTTTGCTATAGACAGAGTCAATGACAGAAGTGTTCCACAAAATAAGCCACAGCCCGCCCTTCTTGAATTGAGCTAATTAAAACTTTAAGGAAGTTATGATTAATATTGTTTTCAAAAGTCCCCTACGTGCAGGCTAGGAGTTGAAAACCGAATTGACAGTTTTGCCTGAAACTATTCAGCTAGTTTAAATTTTATTTTCTATTAAAAAAACCATCAAATGGAAGAAAGATGATTCTTTCACACGAGCCCACTAATCAAATACATTTTTTATTTCAATAAGTCCCTTGCCTCAATATACCTGAATATTTAAAATCTGTTTGTCTGTCATGCCAGTTATAAGAATGCTTTACTCAAGGATTTCCCACATTATTCACACTGGGAAGTAGAATTTCAGCAATGGAAGTTGGCCTAACTCATTTTTGAACGCAAACACGACGTTAAGAAAACAAATTCAGATTTTGACGTGTGTAAGCCCAACTTCAACATCTAAAATATGGCTTTAAAATGTGTCACTGTGCCATAACCCTGGCTGAAGCATGACTGCTAACACACTTGATGGAGTGTGCACAGAGATTGATGCACCTTCAAAAAATAACCACACACCAGTCTGACCCAATATATGTGATCTTCTTAGTCTACATCTGAAATTCTTTCCCTTCCTCTACCATTCCTATTTTAACCTCAGTTTTGCGTTTCTTCATTGAAATCACTTGTTAGGTGTATAATAGTTGATTAGAGGGGTAACTGTCATTATTAATTAAAAGCAATTACTACTAGTTTCAGGGTAAGTTTAGAGAGAAAGAAAAGGTGATGTCCAGGGAATCAATTTTCCTTTGCTAAATTTTATTCCTGTGCAGCAATGACTGCAGAAGATATACTGACCAAAGCAAACAACTCTTTAAGGAAGGTGGAACAGGCCAGTCTACAGTCACACATTTCTGCATCACTTCAAAATAAAGCTTAATGACTCCAGAAAGTAGATCAAATTTACACCTTATGGTGTTTCCTAAGAGATGTAAAGTACAATAGCAAGTTCCTTACTTTTATTTATTAATCTGGTTCTTCAGCTATATTGTAATAAGACTCTAAAAAGCCAAAATATTATCCTAGCCAGTTTGGCTCAGTTGATAGAGCATCGGCCCGTAGACTGAAAGGTCCTGGGTTTGATTCTAGTCAAGGGCACGTACCTTAATCCCTGGCCCTGGTCAGGGTGTATGCGGGAGGCAACCAATTGATGTCTCTCTCTATGTCTATCCCCCTCCCTTCCAATCTCTCTCAAGATCAATGGAAAAATATCTTCAGGTGAGGATTAAAAAAAATAAAAAAGCCAAGTGTCTTTGTCATTACTTGCAGAGAACTAGCACATGCATATTTATCAATATTTAAAAAAATTAGAAAATATACAATATATAAGATGTTAATAAAAAACAATGTATTTTCTTTATTAGTGATAGTCTGTTAAAAACAATAGAGCTAAGCTTTTTACTAAAGTGCATGGTATTTAATCTAAAACTATTTTTCTCCAATTTTTGTTCATACTAAAATAGAGTGGGTATTAAAGGCAACAATTGAACTTACGTTTAAAATCATTGCATTACAATAAATACAAAACCACCACCACCACCAATAAGAACAAAAATCATAGCAATGACAGCCAAAGAGATCTGTGATTTCATTTACACCAACCTTTCCTGATACAGATGAGAAAAATGAAGCCCAAAGAAGTCAGCTCCTCATAGCAAATAGAGGGAAGAGGTGAGATGAGACCAGACCAGATCCCACATCTCCTCACTGGGATTCAGGGAAGCCACTTTCTACAAGTTGCTCTCAGTCTGACTCACTGACACAATCTGTCTGGTTATCACGTGAAAAAGCTACTGCCCACAGCCATACGCGCTGATAAGTTCCTTGCCAAATGTTCCCATCCTGTCATCTTGACAGTGTTTTCGGCTTTGGCCCTCCATGGGTATCATTCTCCCGGTGATCACTTCACCACTAGGATTAAGGCTTCATTTACTGTACTGAGAATAGCAGCATCTGAGCATCTTCAGAACACAGTGGCCAATCCACTTGGTAAGCAAAGTTTTCAAATCTTTATCCTCTATCACTAACCAGAAAAGTGAGAACTTTTTTTAAATTAATAGGAAATTTTGGTCTATACTATATTTTTGAAACACTCATTTTAAAGAATTTTCTCCCATTAAATAAATGTACCTGATTAAAGTCACAGCTCTTTACCTCTGCAAATACAGTATTTGCCAAGGACTTAGTTTAGGGTCACCTTAAACCTGCACGGTTAGCATGCACATTAATCTACTCTTCAGCATTCATGTTTTATTGAATTTGACAGTCTATATAATAATATTTGGTTTATTTGCTTTATCATCTGAGTCACTTATTATACCTTTTTTTTTTCTTTTTTGAACAGGTTTTAAATTCAGCTGCAAAGTGATACTATCCAAGAAACCCATCCTCATGAAGCTGGTTTTAATGAAGTCCACCAAGTTGACTCCAAAATCCCAACCACAACCAGATGCATTAGGACTAACAATTGACGCAGCCACTTCACCACAACAAAGACACCTGGACAAGGTGAGAAGCACTGGCCTCTGGGGCTCTCTGCCAGCATCAAACATCCAACAAATCTCTTGTCGAAGCCCCAGAGCTTGTTTTATTGAGCATTTACTGTTTATGTTAGACTCTCAATGCTAAGGGAAAATGAAGGATAAAGATGTTGCTTTGGTCCTCAATGCCTTACCATCTAGGGTAGAAGCAACAGATGATTAATATCGAAAACCTTTGTATTACGATGTGCTTTGTCCATACCAGCCCCAGCCTACCCTGTCTGTCACATACACATTATAAATGTGTAAAATAAACTCAATAACAATACACACACCTGCACAGCACAACATGTTGGAGTGAAGACAGTCACACCTTCTCAAAGGAGAACTTTTTTACAAAGCATCACAGTTAAAATCCCCATACAGTCATCCTTCTCTGAACCAAGCCAGACTTAACTGAGTTAATATAGGCTTACTCTTGGTAACTGTCTTTAGGCGTATGAAAGTTGTTTTTAAATGGGGCTCTCATTCAAGAAATAAATATAAAAGGAATGGAATGAGTATCATGGAGGTGACATGACAATGAACATAATTGGACGTAAAATAGTACCAATTTCGATTCAAAGCATACCTGTCTTATGGTTCCTTGAATGGTGAAATTACAAGATACTTCCATTCATTACTTCTGTCTATACGTAAAATGTTCTACAATAAATGTGAATTACTTTCCAAATAAAGAAAAAGAACACTGCATAAAAAAACTATTGTGGAGGGTATAGGTTTACATCCCCCTAAGACAGCGGGCTGGCTGGAGACTGTGACCATAATGCTTTTCCCATTTCAATCACCAGGCGGGATGTTTCCTAGAAGGCCTCTGAGGTGGAGAGCGGCCCCTGATCTACCCTCAAAGCACAGGTTAGGGTTTCTGTGATGAGGCCCAATCCCACCACAACACATGGAACAAAAGAAGCAAGTATCACCATCAGAAAAACGAAGCCTTAAAAGTCCGATTCCCTGGTGCTGCGAATGTCCACCTGGAGGTCAAAAAGCCAGAAGACAATGATGAACAGTTTCTACAGAAAAAGGATGAGGGTAACTGTAGGGCCACAAAATTCTACCAGGTGTATGAGTCACACTGATTCCCTTAGGTGGCACTGGGAAATCACAGCAATAATTGGCCACCAATTAAAAATTCAAACAGCTCAAAAGAAACTAGTCACAACTGCCAAACATCGGATGTACAAGGTGCTGTTGCATAATCATGTTAACACAAGTAGATATAATTCAACATACTACCTCTGAGAGGGTATGTAAGGCCGCCTGCATCCGGTTCTACAACAGAACCCTTAGGCTAAGCTCTCTTCACCTTTCACAAGCACTGATCTATTTGAATACACTTTCCACAAAGACCTGAGCTTTAAGGGAATTAAGCTGGTGACTCAGTAGGAGGTAAGAGTAAACTAATACCCTTGTTCTAATCACGTGTTCTGTTAGACAATTACATAAAGTGAAACGAGTTCCTATAATATTTCCTTCCTGAAGCTACTATGAAACTACAG